CTACCATGCCAGGCAGGTCGATTGGAGAACTGTAAGGCTAAAAGCAGCTACCCAAGGTCTGAGGGCGAAGTCGTACTGCTGACTGCAGAGGGGTGTGGCAGCAGTAAGGTGTTTCCCTCGGACAACCAGCATCTGCAGCGATGCTGCTTTCTCACAAGGAAGGAAGGGTTAGAAAAGGTCAACCCTAAAAATGTCACACCTCACCCTACCTCATGGATTTCCGTTTCCATCAGTAAGGGTGCCCACTAAGGGCCTTTAAGAGAGGAGCTAATACACAAAAAACCTTTAATAAAAAGGCCGCGCGTGACCGGCCTCAAGCAGTTGTCCCTTGGACTCTGCGGTCACGCTTCCAGGTCTCTAAGACCGACACTAATATACCTTCCTTTTCAGGTTCCTCAAGAAACAACTTTCCACAGTGTGGGCAACCGGGAAGTGACAACCGTCCTCATACCCGTAATAGCATGCGAGACCGAATTGGTCACAATCAAATCCTTCCTACACCCCTTAATATCTCTTTTATATTTTCGTAGTAAACCCAGTGATATTTGATAAGTATCTTACTTATAATAACCATTAGAATCTCACTTTTGTCGTAAGCCGATTTAAGTTGAACGAATTAGATATAAATTTTCCAGCTGTTTCATGGTCCTTGAGTATTAAAAAACAGTAATCGCATTCAAGTATTGATATTCATATTGAACTTTCGTTTCAGAAACCTGGTGAATTAGCTGTTTAGCTACTGAATCTGAATAACCTCTGGATTATAGAACAGGCATAAATTTAATTTAATTTGTAAAGGTTCGAGTTATCCTGAATAGACATATGCAAGCTAAAACTGATGAAAATACTATCAGGGGTATCAAAAATAGGACAATTCTAAAAAACAACTAAATTATTTCCTTTATGGTTTATACTTGGGTATGAACTGGACAGAGATTTTATCCTAGTCTGAAACTTCTCAATAGCGCATACTAACGATCTCAACATAAATCGAACCTAGGATATTCAAGTTTTACAACGATCACTGAATATGTAGACCACTTATTTAACACACTCAGTAATTTACATTGCATGATGTTTGGAATAAACAAATATCCGAAAATTATCTGCCTTTTAAAGGATATTTCGTCAATGCCTGTTTGTAAATATGAACCTCCAGTTGACCAATCTGTACAAACCTACTATAACACATACAAACCTTTCGGAAATCTTCCTCAGGTTCTCCTTTGGATATGTTAACACTTGATCAATAAGAACTTGAATTAAGCGATTGAAACATTGATCCTTAGTGAGTTTAAAACATATCATAATTGAATCAAGCTAATCATTCTTCATACTACAGGACAGTTGATTTTTCACCAAAAGACACAAT